TGCGAAAGAACTTGGTGCTAAGCGCTTAGACGTTTGGCTGTTGCTGCTGCTTTTGCGCATGTTTGCGGACGCAGAGTTTGAGAGGAATGTCTCCACACATGAGCTTGGCATAAAGCCGGACCTTGCCGGATGAGGCTCCCCGCTTCAGCTGTCTTCCAATGACCGCGCCAAACCACTTTGCTGGCTGCAAAGAAGCTTGCTGAGGGCCCAATCGACTTGCTCATCCAGAACGCGGGCTACTTCATGGAGCCCTGGCCTCGGGATCCGCAACGTCTGGTTTGAACTGTGAACGGTTGCTGGAATCACGTGACAAGGTGTCGTGGGTCAGACTTGTTTCGCCAAAGCATATTGATCACGCTTCAGCACCTTGAGCTGCAACATGGGGTAGGTGAGGCGGTCGGAGAGCAGGTTGAAGCTCGCTAATTATGATTTGGCTGGGTTGACTTTCTGTAAACGTTTTCCGTTTTTAGCCAGTTGATCAATCGTGCGGTCAGGGTTTCAAGTGCTCATCTTGTCACCACTGCCAATATATTGTCGTGCAACACCACGAGGGTCGCTGTTGCTGCGCTCAGGGGACAAGAATTTCTCGACAGCCTGAACGACAAGGAGGAGTTGAAGCAGATTGATATTTGTGCGTGCTGCACTGAGATTGCAGCTGCTTGACGTTTGATTTTTAGAGGCACGCAACAGACCTGCAGAACTCGCGACATGTGGCTGCGAGTCGGTCCGGAACAGGGTCCGGAACCCACATGCGATCCAGACCTCCGTTCCAGACCTCCGTTCCAGACCTTGCCTAGAAACATGATCCAGACCTTCCGTTCCAGACCTTGTTTATATATTTATGTCTAGGTTAGAGTATTTACGGTAGGGTGATTTGGTAGGTTATTGACTCCCCCCTTTGTTTTGCCAAATGCTACGCGTTAAGGCTGGTGTTCGAGAGAAGCCTGAGGTGCTAACGATGGGGTTTGCTTGTCAAGCTTTGGTGGTTGGGGCTGCGTGGCTTGTAATCATTGGGACTTGGATGGAATTAAGCAGCGGTCCTGTTGACAGATGTGGTTTTGGAACGGCCTGTGAATGTTAAGGGTCAAACCCCGCCGCAATCTGTTCGATACGATACGGTAACGGTTCGATACCGCTCTCGGTCGTCACATTGTTGAAACGACCATGTTTACATGCAGCTTGCTACCAAGTGCAAGCCACTCGCGTAACCGTTCCAGACCCCGTTCCAGACCCGTTCCAGACGTGTTCCAGACACAGCGGAGCAATTTGCCACCAAGTCCACATGCACAGTAGCTACGCTTCTTACGCGGCCCGCCATGCCGCCGAAGAAGCCTTCAAGGAGGTGCCGTATCGTACGGCCGCGCGCCCCTGATCGCTTCATCCATCCATCTACCCATTCATTCATTCATCCATCCATCTATCCATCTTACACTAAATGAACGAGCAAAAGGCTAAACTCTCTCGTCATAAAATTTGTCTTCGGCGATTTCGCGTTGCTTGTTTTGTATTTTTCCTCAGGAACGATATAGCGAAGCCCCAAAACGATAACGTCGCATGACGTGCAACTGGCGCTTCGCGCTTCTATTTTGCACTGTGTGAGCCTTTTTTTGCCCCAAGCTGTAAGTTGCCATGACAGCTCCTGTCAATGCTCCTCGGCAATGCATGGTGGGCACATGTGTGCACGAGATGGGCCCACCCAGATGGATCGCTAACGCACCTGCGCACACGCACACGCACAGGCGCCCGCAGGCACCGGCGCACGCTGCGACCTTCGAGCTGGAGCTGCCAAAGTGTAACTTGCGTACTGCGCTGGTACTGAAAGTTGCGACTTGCGACTTGGAAGTTGCAGCCAGCAAGCAAAGCCGCCAATGCTTGGGAGCCAGAAGCATAGTCTAGTCCGCTGATCACATGACTACCGCAAGGTAGAGAAGGCTCTTGTGCGCTTGCTTGGCTCTAGCTTATAGCAAGTTTGTTTTTTTCGTGACACTACACGCGCCCAGAACGATACCCAAAACGACACCCCATCGATACTCCGAGAACGTCCCGGAGCAGCCAATGTGAGGCCTACCTGTGCGTTTGCTTTTTCAACCACACGCGCAGCTCCTTCAGCGCACATCCTTCCGCGCACACAGAGGGCCCGCAACGGGCCAGGCCGCGGCGCCTTGGCGGGCTTGCGCTTGCTCCTCAGAGATCTGCTGCTGCAGGAGGATGGGAAGGCCTGACTTGCCCGAGCAGATCTGTGATCCGGAAGGCTTTGGAGAAGAGCCCGAGCTCCAAGAGTGCTGCCGCAGAAATTGCTCACTGCAGGGGGTTCGCCGGGCACTTTCCAAATCCGCACGGCGTCGCAACCGGCTTGCTATTTGGAGGTTGCTGGCCAAAAGTAACTTTGGAGCGTCGAAAACACCTTTTCGGATCATTCGCGGGGTCCTACTGCTCATGCTTCTTGCTTGCACCCGCAGGCGCCACAGTCGGCATGCCAAACCATACCCAAAAGTAATTTTGGAGCGTCGAAAACACCTTTTCGGATCACTCGGGAGTGTGAACTGCATTCTGGGCCACCGATTGCTCTCCTTCCTACTGCTCATGCTTCTTGCTTGCACCCGCAGGCGCCACAGTCGGCACGCCAAACCATACCCAAAAGTAATTTTAGAGCGTCGAAAACACCTTTTCGGATCAGTCGGGGAGTGTGAACTGCATTCTGGGCCACCGATTGCTCTCCTTCCTACTGCTCATGCTTCTTGGTTGCACCCGCAGGCGCCACAGTCGGCACGCCAAACCATACCCAAAAGTAATTTGGGAGCGTCGAAAACACCTTTTCGGATCATTCGGGGAGTGTGAACTGCATTTTTGGCCACCGAAGTACTGCTTGCTCAAAACGATACCCAAAACGACACCGAAACCACACCCCTCGTACTCGCATGGTGCTGCTGTGCTTCAAGTTGTGTATAAGTCTCGCTTGCAACTACCAAGTCACCGCACAGCAGTCCGTGCGAGGCGCACGCACGCAACGTGTAGCTGGTTTTGGCACATGCCCCGGACTGAGAGAATATGGGCAAAATTTTCTGGTTTTGGAGGGCTGTCTGAACGATACTCTGAACGATACCTCAACGACACCCGGAAAGCACAAAAGACGGGCCACCGCTTACCCATCAATCAGTGGTGGTCAGCGTGTGGGCCCTGCTCCACCTTCCATGCTTGTGGGCGGTCTGGAACCAGCGTCAAAAAGCATGTCATGGAGCTTGTGGGGAGGCGCAGCATCTACACCCTTCCTGCCTTCCTGCCTTCCTGCCTTCCTGCCTTCCTGCCTTCCTGCCTTTTTGCCTTCCTGCCTTCCTGCCTTCCTGCCTTCCTGCCTTCCTGCCTTCCTGCCTTCTTCCCTTGCTCCCTTCCTTCTTCTTCTGCCCTGCCTCCCTTCCTCTTCTGCCCTGCCTCCCTTCCTCTTCCTCCCTTCCTCTTCCTCCCTTCCTCTTCCTCCCTTCCTCTTCCTCCCTTCCTCTTCCTCCCTTCCCTTCCACCCTCCTTTTTCCCTTGCCCCATCCTTCTTTGCTCCCTTACCCCCTGGATTTCTTTATCCCTTCCTCCCCATCCTTCTCTGCTTTCTCTTCCTCCCAGTTTCTCTTCCTCTGCTCTCTTCCTCCATTCTTTCTCTTTCCCCCTTCCAACCTTCCTTGACATAAACACACCAGTGTCTGAAACATTGCAGAACGATATAGTGAAGCCCCAAAAAAGATAACGTGTTGCTCGGAAGCGCCCAGTCTTAGGTTTTGCCTCTCGCTCACGTGTGCTTGAGGACTCCACACATGTCTTCCCAGAGGTCCGGAACAACCAGCCTTACGTAACTGACTCGTTCCAGACGTCCGCGTCACCGCGGAACGTTCCACACCAGAATATTGACCCACACCCATGTCAAGATCCTGCCTCAGTTTAGAAGCAAGGAACTCTGGGTCAAGCGGATGGCTGACAGCCTGTATTTCTTGTTTTAGAGATGCTCAACAGCAGCCAGCAGGCAACTGCGCTGCAGTTGGCGGCTTTTGCGCACTTCTTGAATGTACGACAAAGCAGTTTTGATCAGCTCGGTAGACCACAATCAACACGGAAGCAAGCTGTCACGGCGAGTACTAGTTCCGCGTGAGTTGATGTTGCGCATTTGAAGAATTGAGTGGAGAGGTTTCCAGATTGGCTCCAAATCCAGGGAAAGAAACATTTAGTTTAGCCACATTCGGGTGCTTATGTGGGCCTGGATTTGGTAGCTTTCGGATACGGAACTTGCTTGCTGGTTGGACGGTTGGAGCTTGATTGGGGGTGCGATCAGACTGAACTTTGTGAAAACAGCAGAGCAATTAATTGTAAACGCTCCGCGCTGCCCACTTTAGCCAGGCTCAAAAGAACCACAAGAGCAATGCGGGCTCAAGCAAATGATGCCGGCTGGGCTGAGCAGTCCGGTATTTTGCAGCAAAGTGATTCCTGCAGGACATTCGTGCAGACACGCTTTCGCAAGGACTTGTGAGCAGGGCGCTGTTGCTACAGCTTTCCACCGTGCTTGGCATAACGCATCGCCGCTTTCAGCGAAGAAGGCTCTTTGTGAACTACGGTTTAGCCAAGACTGAAGCCGCCGTTTTCTTCTCTGGCCAAGGCGCAAATAAGGCCAGAGCCAACCTGCGTCCACTAAGGGAAGTGATGTGGCCTGCGCCCTTGTCCATCGCGGTGCAGCATAAGAGGTGATCAAGGGGTAGAAACCTGTGCCCGAGTCGCTGCTGCCAGTCGCGCTTGCGAGCCTCAAAAGACATGTTGCGCTGTCCCCCAGTGCGAACCTCAGACTCGCGGCCCGGCTCCAAATTGTCGAAGCTCGTGTTTTCGCAAACCTGTTGCGCACGCTTTCCAGGAGTCCGCGCGACGCTCTGACGTTTTTCTACTGCAGAGCTTTGCGAGCCGCCCTCGGATAGCGCCATAATGGTCCGCAGGCCAACTTCAGCAATTCCGAGGCAACTGCAGCTGGTAGGATGCTTGCAGCCGCTTTGCAGCCTGGCTTTCCGCAGTTGCCAATGCCCTTTGCTAGGCAGTCGGCGCCCGCAGTGCGTCATGAGTCGCGTCTGTGTCTCAAGTGCCACGCCACCCTTGCCTGCAAAGCTGCGCGGTCTTCTCGGGGGGTGGGTGGGTGGGTGGGGAGGGGTGAATGGTTTTCATACAGCCTGATACTTGCGCGCAAGGAGATGCAGCTCGCACACACAGAGAACACAGAATGTCTTCTCATGCGAGACACTGTGGCCCATGTAGAAGCGAGCGTCCATCCTCTTACATGTTCTTCTTTGAATGTCGGGCCATGACTGCGCGCCTTTCTCCGAGCTTGATGCTTTGCGCCAGGATCCTCACTATAGTGTTTGGCATGTTGTTTTCGGCTGGGTTCCTTTCGGGCCAAACAGGCTCTTGTTCGTGCAGTGGCTAGAGTGCTTTGCGCTTGCGCGTTTTGTCCTGATAAAAAGAACCGTGAATGTCTAGAGCGTGCGCCATGTTTACCGAGTCCCACGCCTGCCGTTTGAGGGTTGTACAAATTGCACTTCCGCGGGCACTGTCAACGGTCCGCCGGCTTGTTTGCGAGGCTGATTGCTTTCATGACCGGCGCCTCCACTCGCCATGTGTAACAACGCCCCCGAATGCTTGTGCTGGGCTAGATTGAACATGTTGCCCGCTCCTGAGCCTTTTTTCAGGTACGTTCCGCATACTATCATACCCGTGATGCGCCAAAGAGTCGAGGCTTGGGCCTTTGCGTGTTACCGGAGCCCTGTACAAGAACGGCCTGCTCAAGGGCGGCAAGGCGCTGCGGGCCGGGTCGGCTTTTCGCAAATCAAGATGGTGTGGGGACTGCGACGCTCTTCTCTCCTTGGCCGAGTTGGACGGCTTTTCAGTCTGTGGAGGAAGCAAGGAAAGAAGGAAAGAGGGAAGGTAGAAAGGAAGGAAGGATGGATGGATGCAAGGAGGTCTTCAGTAATCAGTTGCATTCCAGTCCAAAACAAGGCTTGGAAGGGCCATGTGTCAGCCCCTCAGCAAGATCCCCCCCAATCTCATACACGCATCTCTTCATCCTTGCCTGGTTGGCGCAGTGGCCCCATGACCCACTTTCCGGTAGTCTGAGCCAGGTGCTGATCATCACCAGCCAAGCCGGTTCGGTGGAATGGCGCTTTACACAGAACAAGAAAGAAGGCACGGGCAAGTTGGCAAGCTGCGGGATGTTGTCGGCTGTGTGACCCAGCCTTTGGTTTGAATCATGCACCCACCCACTTAGCAAGAGAGCAGAGAGCATCATGTCCAATATGCAACATAGAGACAGTTCATGACAACAGTCCATGTCAAGCTGCAGAAAGCCGAAGCAACCTTGTTGGCGGGCCAGAGTGGCGCTGTCAGTAGCGATGCTGGTGTCTTCTGCTAATCATCATCATCATCATCATCATCATCATCATCATCATCATCATCATCATCATCAGCATCAGCATCATCATCATCATCATCATCATCATCATCATCATCATCACCATCGTCATCGTCATCATCATCATCATCATCACCATCATCATCATCACCATCACCATCATCATCGTCATCATCATCATCATCCTCCTCCTCATCCTCCTCCTCATCATCATCGTCAGCATAATCATCATGGAATGGACAGTCAGACATGTTACCCATTGGAGGTATTCATGATTGAGGTGGTAGGAAGTCCTACTTGGGAGTTGTGTCCATCTCTAGTAGCATATGCAACTTCATGATACGGTCCCCAGACCAGCCTGATCAAGGTCATTGAACTGCACCAGAGTGATGGAAGTTTGCATGCATACGTGGACTGCGCCAGGCGTAGCCCATCGCCAATTGGCACCTTCGGAAACTAGTGGCATTGAATCCGTAAAGTAAATTGAATGCCGCCAGATGGCTTATCTAAGATGTGGCACTGTGTGGCATGGCTTGAGGCTCCACTTGTTTCATCCTTCAGGCAGTTCAACGCCGTGCTTTACGGCCCGAGGAATTCCAATTGGGGTGGGTTCTTGCTGTAGCTTGAGCACTCAGCCAGTGAGGGTTCTTCAATCGGAAGCACCTGACTACGGTTGAAACCTCCTTTCAACAAGAACTGAAGTGGTCTGAGGGCCCCATGCTCCATCCTTGGCCCAGAGTATGTCAATGTACTCTGCTCTTGACGCCCATTGCTTGTGATTATTTTGGCATGCATTGCAGACGTCTTGGGAATTGCTTGATCACACTCGCATGTTTTTTAAGCATATCGGCCACTGTAATCACAATACTCCCTTAGCTATGTGGTCGGGCGTTGCACATTTGCTGCATGTATTTTCTGCAGGCTTGTTCTGATGCGTGTGTGTGTGCCACCCTGAGTTTGAGCTCCTTTCCAGTCAGGAGGAGACTACGGCCACCACATGAGCCGGGCTGCTTGCCACACGGCAGCAGCTGAATTGGATCTTCTTAACCTTGGTGTGATGCTCATTGTGGCACCCAGGGCAATCTATGGCCCAATATGTCGGAGTTTCGAGTTTCGGCTTGTTGATTGGGATGCGGCTTCCTCTGCAAGACCTGCATGGCACTGGATATGTGGCTGCTGACCAGCTGCTTGTTCCAGATTGTCTCGGCATGCCCTAGGTCGAAGGGGAGTGAGGGATGTTCTACGGTTGCCGGTCACCTTGCGTCAATAGGCGTTTTGCCTTTAAGTGGGTAGATGGGTTGGGCTGCAAGTTTTCTTGTTGCTTTTCCGTTTGCTATGCCCAGAAGGGGGAGTGTTGTACAGCCGGCCGATGCCGCAGTAGTCATGTTGTCCTCTGAGACCCTTCAGAACCTGATGGAGCTTTTCTTTCGTCACTGTGGCAAGCTTTTGCCTGTTGTCCGTAATTTGGAGAGAGAAAGAGAGAGAGAGAGAGACCCTCATTTCGGTCATGCAGCCATTTTCTAGGGGCGTGAAGGATTGTGTTCGTCAGCCAGCAATTTCCCGACCAGGGTTGCTTCTTTTGCAGTACTCTTTGAGTACTCATGTGCAAAAGCTCTCTGACTCCCTTTGGCGGTGTTAAATTTTAAGCATCACTCGTGGTCCCACAGAGGTTTGTGCTTGTGAAGTGGAGTTCATCATCATCTCCAACACTAGTCATGGCATCGGCAGCCTTGACGCAATCTAGGCCCAGTCTACAGTGCTCGGTCTACCATGCTTCGGTCCGAGGCAATATCGGTGCGGTGCTGATGTCTGAGGAGATGAAGGAGGCCAGGCATGCAACGAGGAAGCACCTATGTCACAGGGCTTCGAGTGTTGTGTCTCGTCTTTGTGTGGTGTGATGCTTAGTAGTCAAGAGTAGGTGCTTGCTTATCGATTGTTTTGTGTCACCGTGTGCAGTGTGTTTGTCTTGCAGTTTTGTTGTGCAAAGGTGCTTTCGGTTCAAGCAGAATAATGCAGGGTCGATTGCGCTCAGCTTGAACTGGACATCGACATAGATTGTTTTCAGACAGTTCAAAGCATGATCTTGTCTTGAATCCATGGAGTAGAAAGGCCTCGAGGGTGTGTTGTTTGACTACACCACTGTTTCTGCCTGGCGTTTGATTTTTCAGTTGGCGAAATCATTCCTCCGATTATATTTTCTGGGGTGAATCTGCATGGGTAGTGATCATTTTTTCATCCTTCTCTACCCTCCGGCCTGATCCTTTCACGTTTGCTCCCCTGGTACTTCTCTTGACATTCTTCAATTCTGCTCGTCCTTTTTGTTTCTCAAACTCAGAGGGCCCCATGTGCAGACGGCGTGAGACATTCGCAGGCAGCAAGCCCTCAACTTGGAAAGCAAAAGGATGAGTTTGCATCCTTGCCTGCACCACTTGGTCGCATGGGCGTTCTAGCCACAAACTGGCAGTGCTGAGTAATCGTTTTGGTGATGGTGTCAAAGGTTTTTGTTTCTGCTATGCTGCGTGTAGAACTTTTGACCGTTCAGATAGCATGCTGCATGGGTTTTGAGCGCCACTCAGTTGCAAGCGCAGGCAGGCATCCCGGTGACGCTGGTGCATCCAGGAGGGCCGGCGAGTGTTCCGCTCAAACATCAATGAGTCGTTGCCAGGAGCAGGGGACGATTGGTGCCTGCCCATTCCGGTGCGGTAAATCATGTGCATTCCTGCATGCGTGATTGCAACCTTTAGGCAACAACCACAATATTTACTTTTTCATCACCTTGCATGGTGTTATGCCATTCGTCCTTGTGTGGTGTTGTAGCACCTATCAGCACACCGGTGCTTCTCACCATCACCGCGAACGGATTTGGCTTTTCAGCCGGCACTCTCAACGATGCGCTATCGTTTCATCCCCTCAGAGCGCAACGCGAGCTTACAATCAGTGGTGGGTGCCCACCGTTTGCCGTCTATATGGACTCTGAAACACGGCTGACGAACCTGAGGAGGTCGTAGCCTTTCCCCCTTGCTGCTTTGATTTTCGTACTGTCCATGTTGGGCTGGAATCTCAGCCCACGAAAAACGTTTTCTTCCGAGCTTGGACAGCACTTTGGGATGCCAGGCTTTAACCGCACCGAGATGACCTCCAAGTTTGGAGAGGAGGTTTGGGAGAAGGAGGCTCCGCCGGCACCTTCGTCTCCAAGGGTTTGAAGGGGATTTCTGGTCGTTGTTGCGTTGCAGCGAAAATCGCCTTGGTTGCAATGATGCCACGTTACAGTAGCAGCTTCCATATACATTTCGTGATTTGTAGTCGCTTTCCAGATCTAATTAGGGTCCAAGAGGAAATCTGTATGTATACGTGACGTGTGATATTTAGATGCTGGATTACGCACGTTTCTGTGGTTGACGTCACCATGGCCGTTGTTCAAATGCTCTCATTTCATTTCGGTCATGATGGTTTTTTCGTGCTTTGCTAAGAAACAGATTGGCAACTCAGTCGGCCCTTTGCAAGCTACGTTGTTTGGCACGCAGAATGCAGGCAGATCAGGTCGTCCAAAGGCAACCTCTACTTTGTGTGTTGTATGACCTCGGGTAGTCTATCCAGAAGTTGAGATCACATCGTATGCATCGCGGGCCTTCTAAGTTGCTCCAGAAACGCCGATGCCCCCCTGTACAGCTGAGAATGCTCTGCCTTGGTGTCTTAGCCAGGGAGCGGTGGATCCTGCCATCGGTGCCAAGCGCGTGCTACATGAGGCTGGATGGGGCGAGAGGCAATGGGCCAATCGTGTTGTCACCCACGCTGGATTGAGTGGTTTGCTACCAAGCATCCCTGCTAGCATTTGTTTCCCTGTGCTTCCATGTTTTCCACATTTTTCTGTGGCACGCAGATGCCGATGTTCTCTGTAGTCAGACTGGTACCTCATACTGTATTTTCAGCTTGGTTTCCTTGCTTGATCCCTTTGAGGCACTCCAGCTTGTGCATGTGAAAGACAGAGACCGCACTAAGAGGTGCTAAGACACCCAGGTGCTCACTTTGTTGGTTGCAATACTTGTGCGCATGACGCGTTGGAGCTGACGTTGAAACGGCCTCGACTGGGGATCCTTGTCGACTTCAAAAGAGAATGCATGAAAGGCATGAGTTCCAGTCCCATTAAGTGGCGGCCCGGGAGGCTAAGAGAATCAGTATGGCCACCACCGGGAAATTCTTCAACGCGGAAGACGGGCGTGGGACCGAGACACGGAGACCCTGTTGACTCTTGTACAAACTTTTAGGCGGGTCCGTGACGCTGAAAGAAAAGACGGCGTCTCCCACTGTAAAGCGGCTTCACGTGCCCGCTTTCGGTACCCTGATGACATGTTATGCCTGGAAACCGTCAGTAGTGGCCAGGAATTATGTGCTTTAAGTGTTCAACATGTTTTCTTGCATTCCGCAAAGGGAGGCAAAGGCGTTGGCGAAAAGCGGGCCCACTTGGAAAAGGACAGTGCTGACGATCTTAGGTTTATCATTGCGTTCATGACTGCAGATCCGGCTAGGGCTCACAGGAGAAATAGGAAAGCCTTGCAGGAATTCCATAAAAGCCCTGCGTAAACTCTGCGAATGCCAAACATAAGGCGCACGTGCACCAGTCCAAGCCAAGGTTGCCCACTCTGCCATCCATGTTTCCATGCGTCATCCAATCGAGTGTCAGCCGGGCTAATGAAGCCTGCGCACTGCACGCCTTTAAGCTGTTGTAATTTGCACCTGTGTGCGTCAAGGCAAAGTCGATCGTGCCGTCCGCATAAACGGTCCTTTTGTCAACACTGACAAACAATACATTGTTTGTGTGTTTTGCTGGTGCCATCCGCCAGGTAGATTTCAGAGTTTGCTCGGGCACGGCAACACGGAGCGAGATCGCAGGGGCCGTTCAAGCTTCAGCATCTTCCGAAACCTACAGTACCCTACTCGCAGGACATGCCAGCTTGCTGCACTTCAAGTTACACAGCACAACCTGAAAGCTTGTACAAACATTCCTTGCAAAGAAATGGCGCGCTACATGTTGCTCATGATTTTGAAGGAATGCAATGTTTTCTCAACCAATTAGCACTACCTCTGAAGACAAAAGTGGCAATAAAGGACAGGTCATGCACATCATGACATTGGAGAAGGATCAAATAGCACATGCAAGTCAAGATAGACAAGTATTCCAGTACAGCCAGCGAAGCAGGTGGGCGGAAGTTTCGAGCAAGTGTTTGGTCCTAGGTATTTTTCTGGTTCTCTTTCTCTGTCTCTTTCTCTTTCTATTTCTCGTTTGTTTCTCTTCTTTCTCTCTCGCTCTCTGCTTGTCTCTGTCTCTGTCTCTTTCTTTTCTTTCTCTTTCTCTTTTTCTTTCTTTATTTGTCTCTTCTTTCTTTTCTCTTCTTTTCTCTCTGCTGTTTGTGGTATATCTTTCTTTGTCTCTCTCTCCCTCTTTCTCTTTATCTTTCTCTATATTTTTCTCTTCATGTTTCTCTTTCTCGTTCTCCTTATCTTTCTCCTTCTCAATTGTTGCTTTTATGTTTTTTTTTTTTTTTTTTAAACACATATTTGTTTCGCTTTCTGTTTCTGTCCTTGTCCTTTCTCAATATATTTGTTTGTTTTATCTATCTGTTTCTTCATCTATCTCTTTCTTTATTTTCCCCTTCTTCTTTATCTCTTGTTTTATCTCATTTGTTTGTATTTTTTGTTGTTGAATCTTCTTGTTTAGTCGTCTACTTGTTCTTCTTCTAATTATATATATTGTTATTTCCTTACTTTTAGTTTAATTGTTTGATAACCATTCAGTTTTCTTTTTCGCTCGCTCTCTCTCTCTCTCTCTTCTTTCTGTTTCTCTTTGCATTTCTCTTTTTCTTTCCTTTTTTGTTTCTCTTTATATTTCTTCATCTTTTACTTTCTTTATTTGTTTATTCTTTCTCTCTTTCGCTTCTGTCTTTTTCTGTCTTTCTTGGTGCCTCTCTTTGTCTTTTCGCTTTTTTCTTGCTTCCTTTGCTTTCTCTTGCCCCCGTTTCTTTTTTCCTTGTCTCTCTTTGCTCTTTTTGTGTGATTTCGCGCCACAGCTGGACACATGCACTTTGCGTACTGCTTTCTCACTTACATGACATGTTTTAATGTTTCAAGCATTGCAGCACGCGCTTGAGCGCCCATTTAAGCAACTATTGAGCACAAACCACAATGGCATGGCCACAAAAAAATGCATTCGAGGGTGAGAACATGCTGTGCCTGGCACGAAATCTGCACCTGGCCTTGCGCAAGCGCTGCGCATGCCGCGCAAGCTAGTGTCGCGAAAAGTGCGCCCGTCTGTGCCAGTGGGCTCAGGTTTGACCGCACTCCGAACGCGCTCCGCGAAAGCTCCGAGAGGGCTCCGAATGCGCTCCGACCAGGCGTCGCGACCCTGTTGGCAATCGAGCATCCAAATGAACTGAAACCCGCAGAGGGTTGCACTTTTTGGACGTTTCGATTGCCCCGGCACACGGGCACGCATTTTTCCTCGCGCGTGCTTATACTTCTCTCTTGTCTTCTGTCAGAGAGCCAGCTTTGAATTGGTGTCCGTACCACGGAAATTCCTCTAAACTTTGTGGTTTAATTGGCTTGGAGGGTGTAATGAGGATAGTATAGCATATAGTATCGATCCCTTGTATGCCATCTGGTGAAGCGGGCTGTTGTCGTTCGGGCAGATCAAGAAATCAGATGGAACCACAGCGCCTTCCGAGGCTCGAGATCCCCTGGTGAGCGGCTTATTTTGGGGGACAGGACCGCTAAAGGAGGAGTGCCAGCGAGCTTGGCGTTTTTTTTCTTTCTTTCTTGGGAGTCGTCAGCATGTTCCATGTTGGTTGCGCAGAGCTGCCTGTCACGGTACTCTGTTAGAAAGTTACGCCACAATTGGGTGCCCGGCTGCTGCTTCCGCTTGTTTTTTTGCCAGCAACCAGTCCCAGCTGCGACGCTATGAGCTTTGCGGGCAAATCATTCAGCCCTGGCTGTGGTTGAGCATGCAAGCCGGGATTACTAGCCACTCGCGATGTCCATGGGAGCAACTAAGTGACACTGTGATTGTCCAGGTCGGGGTCAACATGGTTTCTTGCACTTTTTTTCTGTTTTAACAAAATCTGAAGAGTGATGTTGAGATGTGAGTAGTCCCAGCGGTAGTCAGGCTGAAGCCGTGGTCTCCAATAATTTCACAGTTTTGGACTTCCCGTGTCACTATGTTCAGTAGCACAAGTCGTATCGCTGGGCATGATGCCTCCTTTGGCAGGATGAGTGGTACAGAATGCTTTGACTAACAAGTAATCTAGAGCTTCGGAGGGTGGCTGCCCACAGTGGAGATCAAGTTGTACGTATCGCATAGTCATGTACCGGATGTCATGAAAGTTACCTTACCTCTTAAACACACAACTTTTCAACTTTTTGGGTAACATGGGCTGGCTATATGTCTGTTAAAGGTTAACTTGCCCAGGGCTTGGAGTTTTAAGGGGTAAGTTACACAACTTTCAAAGCTGTTTTGTTCTGGATTGCTTCAGGAACTGCCACTGTGAAATGCCCGAAAGACACGTCGCGGATGTCTTTCAAGCGCGCTTTGCGCGCAACTTTTAAGCAGCTTCAACCCAAAGAGCAGTTTCGGTGCAAGACGGCATGCACCCCCCCATACCTGCATTTACAGTAGTTCCAGACGTGCACAGCCAGGAGCAGACATATGTTTTTTGTCGTGTGCGTGCTCAGCAAAAAGAGTGGGGTGACCAGCAAATTCACATGGCATCAGGCAGTTGCGCGAGTTGACCTTCCAAGTGTGGATGGCACAAGAGGATGCTGAGAACGCTCGAGCTTTGCGGAGGACTTTGCAAAGGAGAGGGACATCGAACCAATTCTGATGTGATTCCTTGTGAAGAACTGCTTGTGGTGTGGGGCGCCCGATGGCTTGCACACGAGGACAGCCGGGGTTATGAATAGACCTGCATCAGCCAAACAGGAGGATGAGCCAACACAGAATCCAACCATCTAAGACCATAGTTGTGGACCTCACGGTTACAAGTCTGTAGAGTCCGAAACACTTGCCTCCAGGTTAGAGCAGGCTGACTTTTGCTTAGGCCGATGAGTGTCAAGTGCACGTTGACTTGAGGCCAAAGAAGCTTTCCCGCTCTTTACCAGGCGCCAAACTCGACGTCGCCAAGCAAAGCAGCATATTCGATGCCGACCCTGGTGTGGCCGAAGTGGCAAGTAAAGCCGAATTGCCATGCCGCTGCCCCTGCTCAACACGATAAACCCAGCTCTTTTGCCCACCTGTTTGAAAGGCTGCTCTCTCGTGTGGGCCTTGATGGCTCGAAAGGGCTTACTTCTGGCAACGGGGCTGCGGCAATGGCAAAAGCCATGGCAAGAGCTGGGCACCAAGTGCTGACATGCCACCTGCGACCAGTAGCGGGGATGGTGAGGGCCATGAGAAACTGGGGACCCACTGGGGCTATGACCTTGATTTCAGTGGACCAAGAAAACTCACAGGACCCCAAAAAGGTTTCGCTTAGTGTTGACATCCACCTGCTCACCTACCTCTCTACTACATGTGCACAACGCATATAGTAAATAGCACTTCTTAGTCTATCATCAAGGTCTGACCAAACCCGAAAGCAAAGCCGTGGTGCCCTGATGCCTTGAAAACAGCTCCCGTATGCCGGCAATATACATGTATATCCGCGTATGTACTAAGTATATACATATTTATGTACATATAATACTGTTTATGTTTAGCAGGAGACCACTTCCAGCTCGGTGAATGTGTGTGTGTGTGAGTTGCGCTGCCAGCAACTCTGTTTTCAGTGCTTTTTCTTTGGCATTGGAGTTTTTTGGCTACCATGTCCAGCAAGATCAAGCTCCCGGAGATGACACAATTCCGTCTATTGCAGCTTGTTGATGTTGACCCAAGATGTCCACTGAAACTATTTGGAGCGATTTTGGATACACAGGTTGCGTCGAAGCCATGCTGATATAGTGTTGCTGACCTGAAACTTGACAGGGCAGCAAGCTCTCAAGCTTTTGGCCTACTGACCCGGTTCGCACAAATTGAGCATGCTGCCCCTGGTCATGCTTCATTCTAGCGCCCTTATTCCCCCCGACCCCAACACTTCTCAAGGCGACTTGTGAGCTTAAGTCAAAGGCCCCGAAGCTTTGCGCAGTCCGAAGATCACTTAGCTGGCTGATCGCAATGTCAGCTAGTTTACTGGGCTCGTCCAAAATGTCAACTTGGATCAGTCTACTTTCAGATGCTCAGGGCGCTTCTGGCCCAAACTTGCTGTTCCTTTCAAGCCACACGCAATTGCCGCTACTCTTAACTGGGGAGCAGTTCCAGGCGTTGCCATTTCGAACGATCAGGTGTCCGCCCTGCGAAGGGGCCGTGTGCCAAGGCCTCAGATTGAAGGCTCACAAGGGCACATTTGTAATGCAAGTCCTTCCCGATCTCCCCCTTGCAAGTGCTGTATCACTGTATCCTGTAAGTGCTGGTACGATTCCCTGACTGTCAAAACGGCGCTCGGTCGCTTGAGAGAGGCGTTTTCGTGTTCGACTAGAAGCGTCTCGCAGTGAGAGAGCTATGTCAGTCACTTTTGGTTCGTTCCCTTTTGCACAGTCTGGGGTTTCAATCCGTTTGGCCAGAGTTGGTGGTCTTCAGGCATTGAGTTCCCAAGGGTAAAGTGAGGAATACGAGGGAACCGGATGTTGGCTTGGCCCTTGGCTAAAAGTGTGAGTGCGGGCGCCTCAGGGTGCACTGAAGGGAAGAGGTTTGACCAAGTTTGTTGCCAGGAATTTGGTTAAACATTGGAATGTTAGGTCTTGGTACTTCAAGCTGTCTCGCTTAGGGTTTAGGATTCAGGGTTTAGGGTTGATATTTGTTTCATATGTTTTGGTGAACTCTTTCGGGCTGCAATTTATTCAGCCTCACTGAATCGACGGACATTCCTTTGCAGTTGGCGACGCTTTTCGTTTCAGCGGAGCCACTGGTTCCGATTCTGTTTGCAGGCGCCTGCCCTTTGGATGGGTCTGGGCGTGCCCTTTCTCATTCGAGCGATATCCATCCACTTCAAGTCTCTGAGAACATAGACAGGGCAGTATATTCATGCTGCCGCCTAGCTTCAAAAACACCGGAAAACACATGATTTTTGCGATATGAAGAAGCAAAGGATTTGAAAGTGCGGCGAGTGCTCGCCATGGCGTAACCTTGGTCCGCTGTTCGTTGCCCAGCTCGAAACAGGCCCAACCCCCATTCAGCTTTCCCCACGACCCTCATCCTGCAGCGTACATGTTTAGGCAACGCAGGGCAAGTTTGCTGCACCAAATGCTGGTAAACCCATTGTTTTGCGCGTATGAACAACTACGTATGCTTTTTGCAAGTTGCGTAATGGCAGCGTAAGGGCCATGGTAGTCTTGACCACCGTAGTGGGATGCCAGCCGATGTTACGCATGCGACCAGCGCGAAAACAGTGCCCCCACAAACCCCCCAGGCTGCAAGTCAAAGCGCAAAAGAGGCGTTCTACAAAATGCGCCACCAACACATACGATGTGCACGTGCAAAACTGCGTCTTTTGCAAGTGCGGCTAAACCCCCCCTTCCCGTTGCGTCACCACGGGGGGGGGTTGCCGCACTTTCAATACCTTTTCTTCTTCGTATCGCAAAGACCTGCGCGTTTTTCCTGCTGAGTTGCACACCGACTTCAAGTAGATGGACATCGCTTGACAAAACCCGTCATTCGAAGTGTGGCAACCCCCCCCCCCCCATTAGCTCCATGGCCTCGGGTGGGCTAGGGTGGAGTTTCCCCAGAGGAATCAGAGGTATTGGGTGGGTTTTCAATGTTCAAGCAATGTACAGCCTGCCCCTCTTCGAGCCAAGGCCTGTTGCCCTTGCTCTGGCAGCACTGGCATACCTGCAGGCGGGAAGCTGGGAAACTCCTCCCCCCTCCCCCAACTTGAGGCCACTAATTCACTGCTAGTTGAGGTCGCTGCCTAATCCTCGCTTGGCGCTTCCAAAGGCTTCAGAACCAGCTTTATCCTGACAAGCACATGTGTCTGCTAGGTGCCACGCTGAGGCCTTTCTAAGCACTTGTGAAGGGCTGACCAAAAAGCACGGACAACAGTGCAGCACCCTGATGAACACACTGTCGCTTGTTAAGCTTGTTCGGTCCACTCTGCCAAAAGCGGAGCCTACGGGGACGGGGTGTAGTTTTCATTATATGATCGTGTGATTGCACCACTATAAGCGTGTCAATTGCGATCGGCATGCTGGACAGGCAGAGCAATTGTAGCTGAACCTTATGCTGAGGCCCGCGAAGACGAACAACTTTGGCGCCCGTAAAACTCACGAATCCAGCACCTTACCAAACCGATGGACATTTCTTGCAAGCTACTTTCCAGAGCACTGTAAGCCCTAGACCAATCCTGCACTATGCACCATGAGACATGAACATCTGACAGTTCCATAAACGAAACGACACGCGCTCGCATCTCGCACATCAAGTTTTCAGCCTTAGCCTTGCACCCTGCAGTTTCAAAGGCCGTGAAGAGCATAGCTAAGGAGGTCCGGGGCAGGAGCAACTGTCGGTGTCAGCATCCTGCTGGGCGAGGGCGAGCCATTCCTAGCAACCACTTGTTGGCAACGGCAGTTCCGGGAGGGAGCTCTTAGATGTTACTCGTATTGTTTACCACTTCTCGCAAGACTTGACTGTGGCTGACAATCAAGTGCACACAAACAGTCGGTGCCAAAAAAGCGGCGATGTTTGGAGATTCCCAATCTGGAATCCTCATGCCACATGCAATGCCTACCAGCCCTGCTGCCAGATTTGTGAAGGTTCATCTCCATCCAATCGAGAGTCCGGAGTATGATGCACATGTGCAGCACCGGCTGCGGCCAGGCTAGGGCCTTCTTGGCGACCGCCGGCCGCGCGCGCACGCAGGCGATGGCCAGGGGGCAGGGCATTGGTCACCGCCCGGCAGGTTCAGCTGTACAGAAATGAAGAAAAGAGGACGCAGGCGAGATGTCCGCGCATGCAGAAAGCGTGAAGAAGGCCTTTGGGAGGTACTCCGGTATTCCTGTACACTATTACCCTTGGCCTCCATTTGGTCCAATTTGTGAACATGGCTTGTTGATTTTAAACATGACGAACGGCGGCAAAAGGTTCGACCCAGGCGACTTTGCAGATGCCATACCAGTGGTCCCCAGTTGGAAGAACACCCCCATATCTCCTCATTGGCCATTGGAATGAAAAAAGGCAGGGAACAAGACACAAGAGCACAAGGACCACACGATCGTGTGTGTGTGTGTGTGTTTTTCTCCCTCTTTCACTCCACGCAGTTGGGAGACATTTGTTCGGCATCTGTTGTGTAAGGCTTTGCTTTTGAGCTGGGGAGCTTGATCCGTTGGCGCCCTGTGATGGAACGCTTTTGGTGAGTTTCACACGCGGATCGTGTTTTTGGGTTTTGGGGGCGGGCTCAGATGACACCTGCAATATGCCCGAAACCAATATGTGTCTCCAGCAATTTTTAGCCGGTCACTCCACGAAAAAGTCGTCCGATAAACATGTAGAGATCTGGTGCTTGAGCACCCCCCCTCCAAATGGCCGATGGACCGCCAAGAGTTTCCTTCAAGAACCATCCCAAAAGAGGAAACACACGTTTGGACCCGAGACGCCAGTTTTTGCCAAAGGCCGGCGCATCGGAAGCAAACATTCACGAACACAGCCATTGCTGCCGGCTGAGCTGCGCATGGTGTGTGAGATGATATGTTTTGTTTCTTGCTTGCCGGGATCGGGATCTGCCAGACCTTCCCACGGGGTGCCGATCGGTTTTTCCAGGAGTAGTGGTTGAACCTTTGAACGTCTGTGCACTTGACCTGCGCAGATTTCTCGTCCAGCCCTACAAGAAGAGGCGTGCTCGGATGGCCAAAATTATTACCGTCCGAGGCATTATTGAGCCAGCAGATGCTGGCCGCTGCCTTGAGGCCTTTAAAAGCCTTGCAACATGAGTCCAAGTAGGTGCTGTTGCATATATTTGTCTATGCTGTAAGGTAAGTCATGCATGTCCAGCTAGTAGTCCGTAAAGCGCTCTATGCGTTTTTCCGTGTTTGGATGCAGAGCTTGGGCATGTGACAAGTGTCAGTCACCTGCACGTGCGTCTCTGCCACGGATGGCTTGATGAAAGCATACCTGGATGTTCACCTGTTGCTGTTGTTATTTGTATATATGCATATGCAGAGGGACTGGCCATTTTGAGTGAATCAAGAGCGTGGCTTGACGAGTTTCATCCTTTTTATCATTCAGATGTAAGCCATACCGCAAGTTCCGCAAGATGGGCTACACAAATCCTTTCTGCCACAGCTCTGCAAGTGGACCCCTGTCCCTGGGCACAATGTGAAGCGTCAACCCCCTTTCCAAGGCCCAACATTTGACAGAATATTCGCCAACACCATTTTCTTAGCCAAGGGATAGATGAGCAACTGTCAACGGACCACCCACACGATCCAGCGATCCCCATTCAGGACGAAATCGCATTGCGGTGCAGGATTGGTTTAAGATGGGTTTTGGGTTGGTTTATGGTTTGGTTTGTGGCTTTAGGGATTGGATTGGGGCTGGTTTAGGGTTGTCCCCCCCCTTCCCCCGGTCCTGTGGTTGGGTTGTGGTGTAGGGTTGGTTTAGGGTTGGTTTGTGGCTTTACGGATTGGATTGGGGCTGGTTTAGGGTTGCCCCCCCCCTTCCCCCGGTCCTGTGGTTGGGTTGTGGTGTAGGGTTGGTTTAGGGTTGGCTTGTTGGTTTGGGGTTGGATTTGGGCTGGTTTCGGGTTGTTCTCCACCCGCCCCCCCCCTCTTTGTGTAGGGTTGGTTTTAGGGTTGGTTTAGGATTGATTCAGGGTTGATGGTTGGACACGGTACCATATATATTACACATAACCATATATACATTTTTTTTTTGTACACATGCTTTCTCTCTCTCCCTCTCTGACACACACACACACGTTGTTTTTGGCTATGGCGGCTATGAGTGGTCCTCAGCTGGGCCTTCAAAGCTGCTGGCTTCCCGGCAGGCCGAAGAGGAACCCTGGGACCCGGACTCGATTGAAGTGCTGCCCACCGAGATGAAGCAGCTGAGAGTTGGTCAGGACTGCTGTGAGCGCTTGCAACAGCGCATCCTTCATGGCATGGTGTTTGCGCTGCCATGCTTTGTGTGGCTTTTAGGTATTTACAGCAGTTTGGTGGCGGAATAGATCGAAGCGCCGCGGCACATGCTGAGCAATGCAGGATTCTTAATCAAATGTACAAGGCACACCTCAAGAGACGGCATGTCAACAACCCATGCCCCTTGCCGACCCACTCTGCATCCTTCATTCAGGAGCTTCAGGGAGTTGTTACGCGAGTCACAGACAGGCAGGACGCATTCGAATCTAGGGTCACATTGCCGGAAGTCCAAGAGTCTTGGTGTAGATCATATCAGAATGCTAACCCACCCAACAGCATCAGTGCTGGCAGTTGCGTCATCAAGTTATTGTCTGGGCGGCAAATCCCAGTTAGAAATGAGATGCCGCAATACGTATCATATGTATCTACATATTATATCTAGATATGCATATGTATAGATGGATTTTCCATGATTTAACGGAAAAGGCACCGCATGTGCATTTTTGACAAGGAGTGAAAGAAAGAGAGAGAAGAGAGAGAGGGAGGGAGGGAGGGAGGGAGGGAGGGAGGGAGGGAGGGAGGGAGGGAGGGAGGGAGGGAGAGAGAGGGAGGGAGAGAGGCGAGAGAGGCAGAGAAAAAGAGATAGAGAGGGAGAGAGAGAGAGACAGCGCAATAGAGAGATAGATGGACACAGACAGATAGAGAGATACAGAGAGAGATAGAAAGAGATGGAGAGATAGGGAGAGAGAGAGGGAGAGAGAGATAACGAGATAGAGACATACAGAGACACAGATAGGGAGAGAGGGAGAGAGAGAGAGAGAGAGAGAGAGAGAGAGAGAGAGAGAGAGAGTGAGAGAAAGAGCAGCATGCAACGCCTTTTGCTGACCTGCTTGCCACCTGAACCGATGCATGTGTCATTCTCTTTGATCCTGGTGTGTTGAGGCTTGTTGATCGGTGTGCTTGCAGATTTTGGTGACTGGCTGGGTGGTAACATCTTGAGCGACAGAGCCTCCGGAAGGCAAAGTTCTGGACATTCTAGGAAGATTGATGCAGCATGTTGTAGCCAACCGATGCCCAACCACTGACGGATTTTGCAAAGTGCTTCGTCACTGAGTAGGAGGGCATAGGGGTTGTTGAGCAGCTTTTGGCATGAGCCTAAATGTAACACCTTAATAACTGCATCTTGGCTCATTCTTTGCTGGGCAAGCCTTCAGGTCTGTGTCCATTGCCCTTTGTGCCAGGATTGCCCTGGTATCTGTGGGCGTCGAAAAGGAGCCGCTGCAAGCACTATGAGCTCCAACGTAAACAGTGGTTGTTGCTTCCCGGAGTCACGGTCGTCACAATGTTTGACATTTAGCTGGCCAAGGCTATATTTGCAGATGCATGGAAAAGCAGGTGCGGGTGATATAAATGAATAGATCACCATGCGCATATATATATATATATAATTCTATGTGGTGCCCCGTTGCCTAAGCCAGCAAACACACAGCAACCAGAGCAGAAACAACATCAGGAAAAAAAAACAGGGTCCTTCAGAAGAAGGTACTCCCGGCACCAGAAAAGCCAGCCAAACCGAGAAGCAAAAAACAAGCAGACAAATAAACAAACACCAGGGTTCTTCCTGCAGAAGAAGGGTGGCCACTTTCAGCATTTGTCTCATAGACTCTGTGTTCTTTCTGTTTTTTTCCAGTTGTTTTGGTTCTTCTGGTTTGGAGGACCCAGGTTTTGTTCTTTGTCTGGTTTTTCGGTTTTGTTTTTTGTTGTGTTTGGGTGCACAAGACAAAACAAAAGGCTCAACAGTCACACAATGGGGGCAGCCCACAAGAGCCCCTGATCCTGTTTAATCTGCCTGATTTGGGGTACTCTTTAACGGCACTGGCAAGTTTTTTGAGGAGCCAATTCCACATGAACGCCCTATCCTTTTTACTGTTGAAGGGTGGTATCCAAGCCCTTTCCAGCTCAAAGGCTAAGATTAAGTCTTGGCAACGCAGATTTCTGCTTTCTGATTTCCAGGCCTCAGGACATGTCTGACCACGCTGGCAAAGGCATTTGAAGGATGTGTGTGTTTTTTTAAGGTGGGTCCTGGAGGGGCTGGAGGATATTGTACACTTGTACGTACGGTGGGTAAGAATATGTATACAAAGATATACAGAAATATGTATACAAGCTTATACATATATATATGTACATATATATATATATATATATGTGCTATTTACCTGAAATGTCCTTGTTGTTGACGTTGAAGCCTTTGAGTGTGCGTCGCAGAACAGTAGCAGGAGCCAGTAGCAATCTGGTTTCGCGCTTTTTTGGGATCTTGTGACGTCCTAAGCAAGGAAATCCTCTTCAATACCTGATTTGAAAGAACAAGTCCAAATATATTGAGAAGGAAATCTGATTTAACTTCTCTTAAAGGTACAGATTTACTAGAATTATGTCCTTAGCAAAATCTATTTAAACTCTATTTATAAAATGGGAAACCATCCTGGGAATCCCAAATGAGCAATATCATTTGCACAAAAGATCCTGTTTACAGCATCTTGAAACCTAGAAATGGAACTAGGATGTTTCACTTTCAATTTCGATTTAAATTCAAATCAGAACCTTGAACAATCACTCCTAGAAAAATAGGTTCTCTTTAAAATCAAATTTGACAGAATAATTCTAATTCACAACCTTTTTTCTTAAAAAAAAAGAAGCAGCACAAAAACAGGTCTAAATTATTGTTAAATGCAGAAATCCTACTAGACGTATTTTCTTATTAAAGTCTATTCGAAGTCTGACCAACCAAATAAACTATGAACACTTTGTTCAACTCTAGTTTAACACAAGGATCTTTATTTCAATCATGCTTTGAAAGGGAAAGCCTAGTAGATATTCTTTAAACTAGAAATCCTGTTAGAATAATTTCCTTATTAAGTCCACTTAAAGTCTATTAGACAATTGAAGACCACAATCCCAGAAACACAAGAAACGCAGACCCCCTTAAAAATCGATTTTGAAAGTAATCATTCCAATTAAATAACTGGTATTTGCGGTGTTTTCCTGCCTTCTTGGGCTTGAGGAAAAGCAGCAAAAAAGGGGGCGCATCTTGAAAGACACTCCGGAAGCTTCATGCTTCAAACTTTTCCAAAGAATCTTGAACCCAGGCCCGAATGAAACGTCAGGCGGTTTGGATCTACCTCTGTCCTATTTCTAAGCTGAGGTTTCGTCAGAAGGCGACAAAATCGTGGAATCCGTTTGAACCCTTTCCCAGAGGAAGGTTCCCTCAAGGTTGGCGCCCCAAACCCTTTGAACCATTTGAACCGTTGCAACCAACCCTTTCTAAGAGGAAAGATCCCCCCAAAATTTCTACCCGAGAAAGGGTTCTACCTGCGCCACGTACATACGTACATGCGTACATACATACATACATACATACATACATACATACATACGTACATACATACGTACATACATACGTAATTACATACATACACATACACACATACATACATACATACATACATACATACATACATACGTACGTACATACATACGTAATTACATACATACACATACACACATACATACATACATACATACATACATACATACATACATACATACATACATACATACATACATACATACATACATACATACATACATACATACATACATACATACATACATACATACAAACATATTACGCATACATTTTCGTGTCTTTAAACAATAAAACAAATCAAAATAAAACACTCCTACATACGTTACAAGCACAATTATAAACATGCACAGCCCGACTTGTCCAGCGTCAGCTGTCCAGAGCGAAGCTGTCCACCCAAATGCCCTGCTGCCATTTGCTTCAGGACGGCCTGCTGCCTGCCTCCAAGTTGGCTGAGGGCCGAGTGGACAACGTCCAGGACAGCGAGCGCCTTGGGGCAGACGTCACGGCAGAGAAAGTGCTGGCTCATTCTTTGTTCAACCCGCAGGCAGCCTACGTTTCGGTGAACATTGGGTTCTAAACCTCTTCAATGACAGCCTCGAAATCAATTTCACAGTGTTACACACTTTGTAATCTCGTCCCCCTATTACCAAATCCACTCGCATTAAAACCTTTTTCCCCCAGGCAAAGTAAAGAACACCGACCCGGCCCTAGTGCTTTTAATTGACTGACAGCTCTTATTTCGGGGTATTTTCAGCGTTCCCCTTACCAAAAGCGAAAAGCACAAGGCCCAGGTTTGATTGAAATTTGAAGAAGATACATGTGGGAAAGCAAGGGGATCCCTTGTACCCTATTAGTTAATGAATATATTTCCCCAGGCCGGCGGCGGGATGAGAAACAATCAGGAGGAGACAATTGCTGGTCACAGTTGGCTCGGTTGGATCGTCCTTTGAGAATAATCGGCAGGAACAAGTCCTAAGTGCTGCTTGCTGCGGTTGGCGTATCCGAACTCTTTGTGAGCGCTGTGAATCGGTTGGCGTATTTTCAGAGCGCCCCGGGCCCGAGACAGTACGAGCTCTATGAATTGGTGGATCAAAAATAAATCAATAGGGGACCGCGGGTGTTAGTCCATGTTTCCATTTGCCAAGGTTCCATTTTGGGTACTTATTTTGACCCACAGCCAATTGAGCCATGAATCTGCAGGACCAGCTGAAGCAAGGTGACATGATCCAGGTGTGGGTTGCCGAGGCGGGTTGGCATTTGGTTGGTTTCCTACACCGGGCGCCGGGCACGTGGTAAACATATCTATTTCGCTGTTTGGACCAAAGCAGTTTAATTTCATATCATCACTTGCCCAACGCGGGCCCTTTTTTTTTTTGGGGGGGGGGGGAGGTTCCCACTGATTGTTAGCCTATGCATATATATATATATATATATATATATATATTATATACACACATATACATTTCTCCTACCTCCGTGAAGTGCTCGCCTTTTGGTCTGGTCTACTGAGTCTAGCAGCAACAGAAATAATACCTGAGGAGTGCGGGCAAATCATGCCTAGCCATACCTCTTTGTTCTCTGGCAAAGTCGTGGTAGCGAAGGGGAAAGGGTTTTTCTTCCTGGCAAGCATATCTTTTCATTTGTGGCATGTGGGTGAGTTGTGATAGCACACCCAGATTCCCGGAGCACTTTCCTGTGAAGATTCAAGTCAATCTTCAATCCGAGGATATGCAGCACAACTAGCACCTCAAGGTGTTCCTTCAGTCTGGCAATTTTATTGGCATGATCTCAAATGGTAGTGGATGTGAGCGCAGCAATACTCTCAACACGGTACTGCGCAACAGGGTTCGGGTCGATGCCCATCAGCTGATGTTTGCAACATTGCCAACGTGTTATTTTTTTTGTTTCGATCGACCCCCCAGAAGCATGACAACGCGCGGTGTGTTCATTTGACACATTCCTATGTGCCAGTTTGGGGGGGTTGATTTTTTAGCCATTGCTTGATTCAATTCAAACACTTTAAATGGCTTCAAGGATATTCAAGGTTCAATATTTTCAGGACTCTATTTTTCAGTCTTGAGAAACTTGAATCTTGAATGCTTTAAAGAGCCTTAAGCGATCTCTCCAGCTGTAGCGTGCTTTGAAGTGCTTGGATCCTTTCAGCAATGGCTTGAAATTGGGCCATACACAAGTGGCGCATGTTGGGGAAAACTCTTCATTTGTCCACGATTCTAGGGCTCAAGTAGACTACAAGAGTACTCCAAGCGCACCAACAATGTGTATATGCACATATACCTATATATATATATATGGTCACCCCCCCCCCCCCCAAATATATATATATATATACATATATATATATATATGTAGGACACATGAATCGCGGTCGGAATTTACGGGAGAAGCAACTTAGACAAAGTTGAACATCCGTAATGGAGCTGAGGGTCCTTGAAAGCAAGAAACAACAACGACAGGGAGCTCTTCAAAAACACGATAGCTTTAGCTTGTATTGCTTTGGTTGCAGTCATGTGCTCTGTGTTTGTGTGCTCGGTACCTCCTTCAACGGTGGAGCCTATGGCGTGGCTGTCGCACCGCGCGGCAGCTGGGGAGTGGGGGCTGGGGACTCTGGAAGCAGTGCACCTGGATTTCTGGGTCTGTTTGCATGGAGGTGCTGCAACACCAGGATGTCATGCGCTGGCTGCTGAGATTGTAAGGTGGAGTCTTCCCCGGAAAGAAAGTTCCATGGACGCGGTACTCTGAACGAAAACCAAACAGTCCCCCCAGTGCGCCCGATGTGCTCAACTGCCCAGTTGCAGCTCGAAGCGCTTGAAAGTTGGCCGGCGGGCGGCAATGTTGCTGAAGCTCGAGCTTTGCAGAAAGCACTGTAGCGCAGAAGCAGCAGTAGGAGCAGCTGGCACGGCTGCGCAGAGCGCCACAAACACACGAGCAGCGTGTTTTTTTTTGTTTTCTTTCTGTTTTTATGGATGAAGACCCACATCTTCGCGGCGAACTGACAGGGCCACATCCGCGTAGGCGTGCGTAGGCATTTTGCGGAGGCTCGTGTTGCGAAGCTTCGCGTAGGCAGTCGCGTAGGCGCCGCGTAGGCAAGTTAAAAATGGTAAGGACCCCCACAACCAACGGGCGTAAACCTTGTTGGAAATTCAAATAGTTGGATGCCAGCAAATGGAGCAGTGAGAGAACTCTGATCGACCACTCGGGCTGCGGCCCCTGTAGTACATATGCTTGTGGATCACAAGTGCAGCTGTCTGTGATGAGGTTGACATGCAGCTAAAATGATTTGTGCTAGGCGGCTGTCTATTCTGTAAGCGATGACGTTCGCAGGATTTTGTTCAAGAGGTTGTTGCAACCCCCGTTGACGAGT